CCTAAACCCTAAACCCTAGGCCCCTATAGACCCCAGGCTCGGGGGCTTGCTGCTGATGACTGGGGTGGCCACCTTGTACATGGCCGTGACGGTGCACAGCAATCCTCAGTTCACAGATCCCGCCAGTGACATGTTCTTGAAGGAGCCGAAAAACCCCCAAATCCTTCAAATAAGTCACAAACTGCGAACCTTAAGCCCAACGGCTTGCTTTGGAAACCGTCGCATTCTCGATCGAATCAGGGGGCCTTCCTTCATGCTTCTCGGAGAACAGAAAGAAGTATATGTATGCATGCATACTGTATGTGTTTTTGTACGTATGTACGTATGCAACACGTCTTTACGTTTACACGTTTTTGTACGTACGTGCGTATGCACATATGTACGTATGTACGCATGCATGCACGCATGCACGTATGTATGTTTGTATGTGTGTAGACCTTCGTTCGCTGACTCGTTCGCTCGTTTGTGCATCCACACATCCATCCATAGTCTTGCGATACGGAGTGCCTACCCCCCCAACAGGAGCCGGACGTCGTCGTGATCCTCGCTGCGGTGCTTGGTTTGGCCGTGGGCATCAGCTTCTCAGTAGATGAGTAGTTAACCTTTATAACCTTCTTGGGCTTATATAGTCCTACCATGATTGAAAGGAAAAACCTAGGTAACCATTAACCTTTTTGGGCTCATATAGTCCTACCATAATTGAAAGGTTCACCTTTTTCTCAGCCCCCGAAGGCTTCATGGGTGTCTTTGACGTGATCGGCGACACGATTCTCTACTGCCTGGCCTTGGAGATGCCTCTTGGCGGATGTCGTTTAAAAGGGGTCCGCAAGGGTTGTTATAATGAGGGTGTTTTATATTCCCTTCTAGTCACTTAGTAGAAGAGAATACAAAAGCCTTAGAAAGATTCAAGTCGAGGGTTTTGTCAGGTTTTAAAAGGATTTTACAGGGGCGTTGTCGGGCTTTCCAAGGGTTTCCGAAGGTGCCGCTTGCCCCGACACAAGAAGCCTCAATGCTTGGGCGCGGGGTATGAGAAAATCAGACAGCTACATGCTGGACTCAAAGGGAACAATGCTCCTTAAACCCTAAACCCTAAACCCTACTAAGTCTTGCGTTCACGATGGTAGGGTGGCCTCGCACCCTGAAGCCCTAACCCGCAAAAGCATGATCCTCAGGCCGGAAGCCCAAGTCGTGAAAGCCAAGCAGCTAAGACCCCGAAGCCCTCCAGCCCCCGAGACCTGAAACCCTAAACTCCCTAAGCCCCTTAAGACCCCTAAAACCCCTTGAAGCCTAAAACCCCTCGAACCCCTAAAACCCCTGAAGCCAAAAACCCCGAAACCCAGAAGCCAGGCACCGAGACGAGGTCGCCAGTCTCAGAAATTTCGGCACCTTTCTTTGGCGGTTTAGGGTTTAGGACCTTTAGGACCTTGAGGCTTAGGTTTTACGCTTTAGGGTTCAGGACCTTTAGGAGTGTAGGGTTTAGGGGTTCAGGACTTTTAGGAGTTTAGGGTTTAGGGTTTAGGACCTTACTTTGGCGGCGTGATGGGGAGAGAGGATTTCAGGGTTCAGGGGTTTGAGGGCTTGAGTGCGTAGGGGCTTAGGATCTGGGGTTTCAGGGTTTTAAGGGTTTAAGGATCTAAGTTTAGGGTGTAGGTGCCGGACCATGAGGACAAACAGCTTGGGGTCTAGAGATGTTTACAGCTTAGCTTCCTTGCTGTTACAAGCACCCTTCATCAAAACCCAAACCCTTCCAACGCCTAAACCCTTAACAGAGCCCAAAACCCTTTCCCCTCAACCCCAAACCCTAAGCCCTAAAACCTAAACTGCTGAAGTGCATGTCACCTTTGCAGCTCATGCCATGTGTACGTGTTCTTCTTTTCCGCTGCTCTGTGGGCTAAGCACAATTTGAGCCTTGAGCATGCTTTTAAACCAAGCACATGTACCATAGTTGTAGGTGTCAAACCCAAACAGCAGAAACCTTTCGTGTTCGCTCGCGCACCCCGATTGAGTGAGCCATGGCGGGTAGTGGGGAGTATGGGACAAGGGAATTAGTTACTCCACTGAGTGTCTACCTCTCAGCCTGCTGGTTCGCTCCAGCATACACCCGAAAGCCTAAACCCTAAACCCTAAACCCTAAATCCAAACAGGTGAAGGCTCAGGAGAGAGAGGAGTCCGGCTGGTGCACGGGCCGGGATGGCAACTCGGGAGGTGCCGCGGCCTGGAATTGTGGAGAGAATTCAAGTTTTAGGGTTTAGGGTTTAGGGTTTAGGCTTCATAGGCTTTCTTAGCAACTTTATGTTCTTGAAGCGACTTCTACGGGGAGTTGTCTATAGTGCTCCAGGATGTCGATGAGGGTTCTAAGTTGGAGTCTAGGGTTGAGGGTTTAGGGAGAACTCTTTTATTGGGGATGTCTCGTTTCCAGAGGAGTTTCTTGCATGTGGGGGTCTGTGTTGTCTGCAGGGTCGTCCAACAGAGATGCAGAGACAATCGTCGACAATGTTTTGGAGCTTTGCTTTCCGATTGTTTGCGAAGTGTACACGGTGGTATGGTTTGTAAAAGCCAGAAAGACCCTTTGAACTTGAGCCCGACACATCTTGTGCTTCAGAGTTCGGGGGGTATTCCGATCCCTAAACAAACCCCGAACCCTAAACCCTAAACCCTAAACTGAGACATCGCCAGGTTTCTTCACCTGGATGTTCTGGGGGGAAGATGAGCCGGAGTACGATCACCATCCACCTCTGCGATTTGCCCCGACGTGCTTGAAGGAATTGGTGCAGCCACGAGGAAGAGCTCGGTGAGTCCCAGACTTGGGAATTAGAGGTTTGCGGTGTTTAGGAGTTTGGGGTTTATAGGGGTTTAGGGGTTTCGGGGTTCAGGGGTTTAGCGTTCAGGATTTTGGTTATACTGGGTTTAGGGTTTCGGGTTTAGAGGTTTGTAGAGTTTACGCAGTAAGCACCGGCAGAACAGAAGGGACCCCTGGATAAAAAGAAATTCAACAGTAGACTCCTAAACCCACAGCATAAGACTCGGGTCCCAGCCAAAGACCAGCCGGGAAAGCAAAGGGCAATGGCACGGCGTTCGGCGCACAAATCTGGGGAATGTAACATACGGACCTCAATAAGTGGCCGCTGTAACTAGTACCACGCGCCACGCTACCTTCTAGCGCCGGAATAGTTATGCTTTAAGCTTTAGACACCCCAAGACCCTGTGCTAGTTTGTGCGTCCCCAATAAAGTTGTTCTTTCCGTGCGCAGGTTCTGAGTTTAGGATTTAGGGGGCAGCGGAGTGCATATTATCCTCCCGGTTGTCGAGCCCAGAGACCACACAAGCAAGCTAGAAGTAGAGCTCTAGCATTCAGGGTCGCCCGTGCTCTCTTCTTCATATAAATTCATGCCAAGGGCTCCCTGCAAGGAGCCTTCCAAGGCTCCTTCCGCAGGGATTTCTTTTAAGCTCGCGGTATGGCTGCTAATGTTGGTGCGTTTTCCAATTTTGAAAGTATCGCTCGGATGCACAAGGCATCCACGGCTCCCTGTGGCACTGAAGATGTCATGCACGCACCAACTCGAACCCAAATGGGAGTCTCGGAGAAAACAGGGTTGCCGTTCAGTGTGGAGCAGAAGCCCCCGACAAAGCCTGCCATAATGGAAGCCTCTTATCTGCTGAATGTTTGGAAGCAGTTCAATGCAGGGGTCAGAATAGCTTGTGCAGTGCCCTTTTGGTCTTCTCCATAAGTGTACTACATACCACAGAACCCCGACCTAAGGAACCCTTGGCTAATTCCGACGGCCATTGATTCTGGGGGTAGAGCGTCCCTGAGTGCTGGGTTAGCAATATTCGGAGTCTTGAGAGTAGTGGTGCGAGTTTAGGGCTCAACCCGAACATTGAATCCTAGACCCGCACTGCTGAACCCGGCTTGCTTGCAGCCCAAAAGCACGAAGAGACGGCCAAGCTCTGCAGGAGGGGCAGCGTGGCGCTAGATCTAGCCCCACGTCGCAGCAGCCGTTTGCCCTCAACCCCTACACCCTATAAAATCCCCAAGCCCCTAAACCTCTAGACCACCAAGCCCCCCTAAGCAATTAACCTTAAATCCCAAGCCCCTAAACACTTCAACTTAAAAATCCCAAGCCCCTAAACACTTAATCTTAAAGATCCCAAGCACCTCTACGCCCCCTCTATGCCTCACAAAGGCTGGAGACGGGACTCTACGACTGCCGCAACTTCCCAAAGAGCCTGGAGCTGGCTCCTCCACAGATGCTCGGCAGCACCTGTTTTTGCATTTTTTCGTCTGCATTACCTGAAGGCCCCCGAAACGGTATATATTATCCCTATTATGTCTAATTAATGCAGGATTTATATACCATCAACCTGTTTTTCCATGCATTTAATGCATACCTTCTAAGGCCCCCTCAACTATGGGAATTTTAGGGGATACATTCCTATTCCCTATTCCCTTAAGGCCTCGAAAAGCTATGGGAATTAGGGTCTATATTCCCTATTATGGGGTGTCATTTTCGTCTGCATAACCTTAAGGCCCCTATTAAACCATGGGAGTTTTAGAGTTTATATTATCCCTATGATGGCTAGTTAATGCAGGATTTATATATCATCAACCGTAGTACCCTTTGTTTTTTTGGATTGCGTAGGGTATAGGGCCGTCTAAGGGTTCGGTCAGGGTTTAGGGTTTAGGTTTAGGAAGAGTTTCGGGCTCAAGGTTTAGGGGGTTTGGGGCTCTTCAGTAGTACTCTTTTCACCCTGGTTTGGGGGTTGGGGTCGAAGGGTTCGGGCCTTTAGGAGGTGTGGTGTAGGGGGTTTAGGGTTTATTCTTTAGGGCCAGTTTAGAGGATTTTGGGTTTAGAGGTTTTGGGTTTAGGGTTTAGGATTTAGGGTTTAGGGGAGTTCGGAGGTTTCGGGTATTCCGGGGGTGCGGGGTTTAAGGCTTTCGGGTCTCGGAGAGTTTCGGAGAGCTTGCAGGAGAAGCTGGGAAACCCTAAACCAAACCCTAAACCCTACCCTAAACCCCTAAACCCTAAACCCCTAAACCCCTAATCCCCAAAACCCTAGACCCCTAAACCCGTAAACCCCTAATCCCCTAAACCCCTGATCCCCTAAAGCCCTAAACCTTAAAACCCCTGAGTTCAGAGCGGATCCTGGGGGGAGCCGAGGATGTGGGAAGAGTTCGACTTCTCCTGCGCCATGGCAAGCCCAAGGGGTTCAGGGTTTGAGGCTTAGGGTTCAGGGTTCAGGGTTTAGGGTTTTGGGTTTTGGGTTTAGGGCTTAGGGCCCAGGGTTTTTTAGGGCTTTGGGTTCGTGGGTAGTTTTTTCATGGGGGTTATAAGTAGGGTAACTAATTATGCTTATAAGCCACATTAGGGGGCTTATAACCCTGTTCATAACGACCCATGAACCTCCAAGTAGGGGGTTGGGTTCAGGGTTTAGGGCCGTTGAGGGTTCAAGGTTAAGGGTATAAGTGTAACACGGTTTGTTTGGGCTGCTCTTTTTCCTGTTATCTCGAATATATATATATATATATATCGCAAAAGCCTGTAAGTATGAAGGCAGCCGGATAATCCAGATCTTCGAATCTAGGAGCGTCTGCAGTAGGCTTTGGGTGTTTTTCGGGGTTAGCCCGAAAGCCCAAGCCCCTAAGCTCATACCCGAACCAGGCCTCCGAACCACGAAGAGGCGGCCCCAGCAGCCCCAACCCCTAAGCCGCAAAGCCCCTTCTCAATCCCAGACCCTACACTCACACCCCTCCTCCAAAAAGCAAAAGCCCTAAACCCTAAACCATAAACCCTAAACCCTAAACCCTACCTAAACCCTAAACCCTAAACCCTACCTAAACCCTAAACCCTAAACCCTACCTAAGCCCTAAAACCCGAAACAGATTCATAAGAGCAAGTCTCTTGCCCAGGTGCCGACAAGCCGGCGCCTTGGGAGTCTCTCCAAGGAACACTTTGCGGGTTGGGTTCTTGTCCGGTTTAGGGTTCAGGGTTTTAGGGTTTAGGGTTTTAGGGTTTGGGGTTTAGGGTTTAGGGTTTAGGGCTCAAGCCCCAACTATCCCGCAACGAGATGCTTTGAGGTTCATGGGTAGTTAGTTATACATGGGGGTTATAAGTAGGGTAATAATATACTTATAAACCATATTATTGGCGGGTTGTAACCCTAAATCCTAACCTAAACCCTAAAACCTATAGAACCCCATAGAACCCTTAAAGGAACCCTATAACCCCATGTATAACTACCCCCAAAACCTCCAAGTATCCTGGAGCCCGAAAGCTCCACAGCCTGAAAACTCCAAGGCCTCAATCGCCAAACCTGGGGGCGCAGAGACTCCGAGACGCCTGTAGAGCAAGCCCTACAAAGCTCATAAAGCTCTGAAAGACCTCAACATCAGCCCAAGAGTATATCTACAGCACCCTTATAAAGCCATTATTCCTTAGGGCTCCTTATAGCGTTTATAATATATATATATATTTTTTTTTTAGAGTATCCTCATAAATATCGGGCCCTTATAGAACCCTTATAGTAGCCTTATAATATGGAAGCCTCAATAATTACCACCATGATTTCTTGGAGGCCTAAACCCTAACCCCTGAACCCTACACTACACTCCCCACACCCTAAACCCTAAACGGGGTTCTGGCAAGGCTTGAGTCTCAGCTTCAGCAGAAGCGCCACCTGACCTTCTCAGTGCCGCCGGGTGCGGAGGCCGTGTGTGAAGGTTTAGAGCTTAGGGTTTAGGGTTTACGGTTTTGGGTTTGAGTTTTGTTTTGCCGTGTCGTCGAGCTTCCTTTGGTGGTAAGCCCTAAACCCTAAACCCCAAACCGAGGCTTCAGGTTTTGAGGTTTGAGACGTTTAGAGATTGAGGTTTAGGGACTTTTAAACTTTAAGCTTCTTGCCTGTGGTAATGTGGACCCCTGATTCATAAACCTCCCTTACCTTAAAGGTATCTCTCTCCCTCTCATGGTCGGATGATTAATTAATCAGGGGTCTACAGCCAGGGTTGGCGGCTGTAGGATTTTGTGTTGAAGGTCTGGGTTTGAGGCTACGGGTCTAGGGTGGGCTTAGAACAAGGGTATCTGATGCTAAAGTTAAAACTTAAGCCCTAAACCGTACATGTACGTATTTTGCTTTCCGGGCCGGTCGTTTACTCTGATCGTTTCAATGTCCGTTCGCAGGCAGTACGCTTTGTGGAGTTTGCCGGCTTGAGCAAATCTGTTCTTTCTGGGTTTGCGGTTCAGGGCAGACGAGGGGCCGTGTGGATATGGACTTCTCAGCATCTCGCCGTTTAAAGGAAGCCTCCTCCCAAACGAAGCCCTTCACCACCAGAAGCCTCGCCGTGAGACACAGAGAGCTCGCTAGACCCCAGACTGAATCCCAAACATAGAGCCCTATCATCCCCCCCACCCCCCAGACCCAGAAATTAGAGGTCTGACCTTCGCCTTACAAAACCCTATAAAGCCCCACGCAAAATCAGGAATAAGCCTTCTAAAGCAGTGCAAAACCTTACAGCGCCTTGCAGCTAAACAGGTGGGTGGTGTCCTTCTGTCCATGCGGGCTCAGCTTTGCCCCGGCGTGGCCGCTGGGCCCTAAACCCTAAGCACCCTACTGGGTTCTTGTGAACAAGAACCTTAGTGTAAGCTGCCCACAGGAGAGAAACCCCACTGTATGGTTAAGGAAACGTAGTTTTCAGTGCACCTGGTATGACTCAAGCCTTCAGCACCAAACCCAAACCTAAACGCCCTAGACCCTACTCCTTAAACCCTAAACTTTACACCCTAGACCCTAAACCCTAAATC